GAAGGTGCAGAGACAAGAAGAACAAGGGGTATTAAGGGGAAAAAGACTTTTAAGGTTAAATATGTAATTTTATTGTTAAAATTACTCGGTTATTAAGGGTGTGCACCCCCGGGTGTTGAACCGGAGGGTGCACATAGCATTTTCCTTTTCCAATTTCACCCTCCCATTCCTTTCTTATACCCATTTTAACCTTTAATTTTAACAAAATTACAAAATTATCAGACACCAAATTAGAAAATCTCGCCTGCAACCTGCTCCTCTCGTTGGATTTCCCTTGCTGTTTGGACCGATTGGTTCATTAATTCAACCAGTTGAACCGATTGAACCAAGAACCAAACTTGAAAACGGTTCAATGACCGGTTTGATTTTAAAAACCTTGGTGTAACCACAATCATTATATATGTAAGATATGGTGTTGGTCCTAACTTTATCAAATTCATTATATGGTTATTATTAAACATTATGATATTTTAATGTCAGAATGCCTTGATTTTTCCTTTTATCTTAAAAATATTTAAAATCTTTTATCATCATTTTTAATATTTTATTTATTTAAATTTCTCAATCCCTTTAATTTATAAAAAGTTGAATGATGATTTTAGTCTTTCAATTTTAAGGTTTTGCATAATTTTTTTCCATTTATTTTTTTGTGCACTTCTTTTATCTCTCAACTATGAAACATATATTTTTTTAGTTTTTCTATCAATTAATCTGTTAAGTTTATCCACACATACATATTTTTAATCCCTTTGGTTAAAGTTGAGGGATGAAAAATACACATATATTAAAAATTAAAGAACTAAAAATGTACACATTTAAACAAATTTAACAAATTAACTGACAAAATGATTAAAAAACATATTTTTTATAATTGAGAGAATAAAAAAAATGCTTAAAAAAATTAAAAAATGAAAATTATGTAAAACCATAAAGTGGAGAAATCAAAATAAACATTTAACCTTTACAAAAATTTTAGAGGAAAATAAAATTACGAGTTGGATGTTATTTAGCAAACATCATCTTATAATATATATATATATATGGTAAAGTGGCCATCAGTCCTACCTCCCAACAAAATTTGGAGTCCCAACTCAAAACGGTGTCGTTCTCTTAATCCCAGCCCCTCCCTTTTGCCTTTCCCTCATTTGCCTTTGCCTCTTCTGCAATCATCTCCATCTCTATCTCCGATTCCTTCTCCATCGCCTCTCATCTCCATCAACTCCTCCGAATCTTTTGATTCCACTGCAATTCATCTTCTCCATCGACGGTAACCCGTGCTTTTTTTCACTTCTTTTGCAATCATCTCCATCTCCATCTCCATCAATTCCTCCAATTCCTCCAATTTTTCAAATGGACTCTCTCATACCTAACAATGGGAACCAAAGATGAAATCCCTCTTGCAACTTGATAATCTCCTTTCTCAAACAGTCTCCTTCCAGTAAAAGAAAAAAAACTTTCCTCTTCTCCACCATCAACACCACACTCAAGTAAGCAAAAATCTCCTTTTCTTCTCCTCGAAGTCTCCTTCTACTACTCTCAAAACCAGATGGAGACTCCTAAATCAAACTCGAAAATCAACCAAAGACCCCCTCTTTGATATGATTTTTTTCCTATATATATACCTAAATAATAAAATAAAAGAAAAATAAAATAAAAACTTCTTCCGCCAATCACTGATCTTTGCAGCAAAAGTAGAGGATGAAGATGATGCCAATTTTGTTTGTATGGGCTGTTTTTTTTTTGTAGGTGAGGCAAGGAGAGGGCTACAGCAAGCAGGAGTGCAGAGGCGCAGGATTGGGGGCGCAGAGTGCAGGAAGCATAGCAAGGTGCAGCAGGGCGCAGCCCCAGGTGCAGCGAGGCGTAGGCTCGGGTGTAGCAGGGCGCAAGCTCAGGTGCAGCAAGCGAGGGAGCGCAGCAGGGCTTGATCGCCTTTGATGGCTGCTGGCTGAAATGAAGGCTCGAGAGATGAGAGAGAAAATGCCCAAAATTAGGGAAAGGCAAAAGCTTTAGGCTGATGCAAATCAGATAGAGATGGAGATGATTGTAGAAAAGGCAAAGGCAAAAGAGGGAAAGGCAAAAGGGAGAGGTTGGGATTAAGGAAACGACATCATTTTGGGTCGAGACTCCAAATTTTTTTTGGGAGGCAGGACTGATGGCCACTTTACCAATATATATATATATATATATATTATATTTGAATACCAACGAGAGATTGGATCAAGTGGCAAGCGACTTGTTCCAGTTTAAGCAATATCTCAAGTTCGAAACCTTGTGTACGCAGCAACCTTCGTTGAGAGACCCACCCACCATTCTGGTGCGTCACAGCTGGTCGAATCCGGAGTAGTCGGGGCGAAACCCCGGATACCGGGCGGGAAACCAAAAAAAAAATTATATTTGAATAAAGCAATTGGGGAAAGAAAAAATATCATCCATGCAGTTTGAAAACATAACTCTGCAGTTTAAAAACATAACTTATGAGAAGTGATTCTCAATTGTTCAAAGATATTGACCACGAAGACAGTGTGGAGATCGACATCATCTTATAATCATTAGTCATGTCAATGATGATCTTAAAACTAACATTAAAAAAAATTAATTCCCGAATGGATCGTGCCAATATCTAGTCAGGTCAGGTCCCTATAAAAAATAAATTTACCCATACCCATTCCCAATTCTCATCCTTAGTTATTGTTATTTTAGAAATAATTTAAAAAAATAATAATAAAAGGAATGAATTATGAAAACAGAATTTCTACTTGACACGTGTATAAAGCTGCAAGAACTTTGAAAGAACTACAGAGATAACCATCATGTAACAAGAGTACAATTACATAACAGATACAGAGAGATACGATGTCGCCATTATTGGATGGCATATACCTTCCGGTACTTCAGCCCTTCAGCACGAGCCACTAGCCCCGAAGAACTGAAAGCCTCTGACCCTCCGCCATGTTACTGACTGAGCCATTTAAACTTAAAAAAAAAAATATTATGCAATCTAAATAGTAAAACAAAGAAATCTTAAAAGAGATAAAGGACACTGAATGCAAAGGGGAAAAAAATCTAAATCCTTCCACATATGACTTTAGTAGTTATCATTGACTTTCGTCATTATCCTAAGTAGGTATCGTGCCGTCTTCATCTTGCTGGAATTATGCCTTCCTCCGTACCCCCAAACGGTTTCCAGATTATCACCATAAGGTGATCTTGACCTTTCAGGATGGATAATCTCACACTACCAGGATGATGGAGCAATCTGGCTCCGTTTCAATATTACTTCGTGAAAACTGCACACTGGGGAGCGTTCCCGAGCTGCAGGTTTATTGGGGCTACGGTTGGATTCACTGCTCCAGTTATTGCTGCGATCACGCCAACCTGCAGGACTTCGACTGCGACTACGTCCCCTGTCATAGCCACCATCATTGTAACCGTTGCCATACCTGTTCAAATATGGCAAACGTGTAGATTAGTCCAATCTCCAGCAAAACTTTAGTTGGGGTACAGAACTCAACAAGAAAACTTGGAAGGTAATTTGGACTCGAGGGCTAAATACCTGTCACGTGATTCACGACCATATCCACGTCCCGCACTTCTCTCTGGCCTATTAGAGGATGTAGAATTCACACAAATACCCCTTCCACCATACCCAGAATCACCACCACGTCCGCCACGGCCTCCATTACGCCCACCTGAACCAAAAGACCCACGTTTGAGCCGGCCCATTCCACCATCACGTGAAGCCATTTCGCGGATTTCTGGAGGAACTCGCTGGTTAGCCCCTTCAAGAATCTTAATGAGATTCAAAGCATATTTTGCATCCTGATCACCAAAAAAAGTGTAAGCCACTCCAGTAGCACCTGCCCTGCCAGTCCTTCCAATCCTATGAACATAATCTTCCACTCCAGTTGGAAAGTCATAGTTGACAACCACCCTGTGACAAATATTGATCAACTCTCAACATTATCCCGTGATATCATTTTTAACTCTAAAAATAACAAATCAGGAAATAAAGGAGTTTAAACAAATAATAAGGAAAATGTTCAAACAAATTTGCATGCAAAAATGAACTTTTTTTTGTTTTTGGCCAGAAAAATGCAAATAATGAACATCATCCAGTCAGTTTCTATATCTGCAACTCCTTAATTTTGGATGAAATGGACTCCAACCTGATGTCTTTAACATCCAGTCCACGAGCAGCAACATCTGTGGCAACAAGCACAGGTGTCCTCCCAGTACGAAACCGATTCAACACATGGTCCCTCTCACCCTGAGATTTATCCCCATGGATGGCCGCAGCTCCAAACTGACGAGTAAGGTTACGAGCGAGTTGATCACACATCTTCTTGGTTGAACAAAAAATAATGATTTTTGATCCTGGTTCTAGGGAGCGCAAGATCTGCTCTAACCTCCTATGTTTCTCCACTGGGGACAATACTTCAACATGCTGCATGACAAGAAGATAAATATATAAACTACAAGCAATTACATTCAATTACAGATGTAATTATTTATACCTTTGAACACTCTGTCCAGATTTCTCTTGGACAAAATAAGACAAGAATGATGAACGTCAAACCTGAGTGATGGATTTGTTTGCCACAAGCTCATCAACATTGCCAATGTTGACTTGAACAGGATTGACAAGTAGATCAGATGCAATTTTCCGAACTTCCCTGGGCCATGTTGCTGTGAACATTAGAGTCTGGCGGCGAGCAGGCACCTCTTTGACAATCTTCCGTATCTGAGGTTCAAAACCCATGTCTAACATGCGATCTGCCTCATCTAGGACAAGATAAGATACTTGATGGAGGCTGATTTTTCTCATCTCTAGAATATCATTTAACCGGCCAGGAGTGGCAACCACAATATCTGTACCTCTCTCTATGTCTCTCAACTGAGGACCCTTTGGCGCTCCTCCATACAAACACTTTAGAACATAAAACATATGCTAATGTCAGAAAAGAAAACAGTTCTCTCACCTTCTAACATATCGATTGATGTAGATAAGGGAAAACAAGCATGACATAGATGGGGAAAGAAAAAGGTGGTGGCAATCTTGTTACTTTTGTGAACAATTCTTGAAACAAATTATCTATAACTTTAATTGTTTATTATTTAGTTATTAGTTTAATCCTCAATCTCCAAAATACTCAGAAGCACAGTGAGAAGAAACTACTTAAGAAGCTAGAGCAAGCTAAAAACCAGCCGATTGGTAATGAATTGATTACGCTCCAGGGAATAGAAAACTAAATTCCACTACCAATGACGGACAATTAAGTAAAAATGTTTGGATAACAGATCCAAATTTTTTTAGTATATTGTGCATGGGAATAATGCATCAAACAAGAAATAATAAAAAATTGTAAGAATAAAAGGGAAAGTTGATAAGAAAGCTAACAAATCAGGGTCAAGACTCAAAGTATGGTAAGGTGACATACTGTACAAGAAATTCTAGACGACTTCCCAAATTTCACAGCTTCATCTTGTATCTGAGTAGCCAACTCCCTCGTAGGTGACAATACCAACACCGTTGGACCCATTTGAGAATTATTATGACAGCGCTTGAGATGAATAAAGCCTGGAATTAAGTAACCCAAGGTTTTTCCAGAACCTGTTTTAGCAACAGCCACTATGTCTCTACTTTGCAATGTAATTGGCCATGACTGAGCCTGAATTGGAGTTGGGGCAGAGAACCCAGCATTGAGTACCTGGACAAAAAAAAGCAAAAAATCCAGAAACCTCAGTAAGCACAGGTACTGTCCACAGTGTTTCTGATTGTAATTTTTTTTTTTTTCAGAGTTATAAAGAGTGGATTATGGCAGAAGAAGCATCATCCCCCATGTGCAAGCAGCCTGTGCTTGCTGATGCAGGCTGGGGCAGGAGGAGGGCTCTTCTTCCGTTTGGACTGAGTGGCAGACTGAATCATCACCAAGGCAGTCCCGGTCACGCACTTGGGTTATTCGGAAAGCCCTCTCCAAAAATTGGTCCACTGCATAAGGGCACCCCAAATTATAAGTGAGGCCCCCAACAGAGGGCACAACAGTGTACGACATTAGCTCCTCCCAGGAGCAAATATCGCACCTGCGACAAAAAGTAAAGACGGTAAAAGAATCAACATGAGTCTGAAGCTCAACATTGGACCCTCAGGAATCACATAACTTTACACTGGAATCAGCCAACTTACTTAGCTTAACTAACTTGCATGATTCAAAGCCACTATTATTAAACACACAAAGGACAAGAGAAAAGCAATGTTGACTTTACCTCTCTAAGTATCTCAGAGGGAAAGCCAGTAGCTTCAAATGATGTAAAAGGAGGTGGCACATCATGTCCCTGACAATTGTTCAGAGGAAACAAATTAAATCATGATGAAAATACACCAGATGATGGATGAGAAAGAAGTGTATTATTAGCCAGACACTAATCAAAATGTACGGCACCATAACATGAAAACTAATAATCCAAACAGCCTAGTGGTTAAGTAACATATCAGAAAAATGAGAAGGTCAACGAATTAATCTTAGCTGTTATCAACAGCAGCAAAAAACCACAGATAGAGACAAAGACGTTTGGGCTACAGAAAAGGGAGCCTCGATATAAAATTGAATAAAAGACAATGACAGCAGGAAACACAGAACAGCATCAGTTCACAAATATATATGATGGTACATCAAGTCAGAACAAATAAGGAAAGAATAGAAAAGAGAACTGCTGAAACAAGACAGATATAGGAGTAATAGAGGATTTTTGCCAAAAGGTTTGCTATACTTACAGTTACAGTAATCTCATGCTTACAACGATAAGCCTCAGGGGATAAACCAATTCCTCCAACTGTCAGATTTGGGGCCGCATGAGAATGAACTGCTCCACTTCTTGCACTCTATGCAAATTAAAGACATCTCATCAATCACATAGAAGGAAAAACACAAAGCAGATGTACTTTTTGGAACAACAAAAGCTCAAGTAGGCCCCCATCTTATAACTGAGGTGCTTTAGCTTTACAATTTGTGAAACCAATTTCTTTTTGTTTGGAAACTTTCAGCTAAAAATTTACTAAATAAACTAGAAAGGGCTTGCAAATAAAATGTTTATACACTGAATCTGAATCAAGTGTTCCTCAGTCAGATGTCATAAAATAGACAATTCAGCTGCCCAAACGAGTGACAGGAACAAAGAAAAGAATTTATGTCACAAACATGATTCAGTATTTAACATGGCAATATAGATGAAATAGAAAAATTTTGGAATTTCAATTGAATACCAGCTAGAGAACTGCATTAATTGCAAGAAATGTATGTCCTATTAAAGTACCAATAAGTAACAATTCCAGAGCAATATTCATCAAACAGATCAAAAACAAATACCTGAGTGCTCCTTGACACACCACTAGCATCTCTGTCATACATATCATCCATCTTGTCAGGACCATGACCATGATGTCCTTCAGAAGATTTCTGAACCTGAACTGAAGAACTTAGGGACACCAAAGAAGACTTTGCCAGAGCATCATCTGAGCTTCTAGGCCTGTCATATTGCGTAACGTTGGTCACTGGATTCCAAAAGTAGAGATACCCAGTTTTACCATCAACCAGGCCTCTCCATGGTTTAGGAAGAGTTGGGTCTGGTGGTGCATATTGCGGACCAGAAGACAAGACAGTTGCAGTAGCCATAGCAATGAAGCTCCCCAACAAAAACCCTTTAACAACCAAAAATTCCAAAGCATAATGTCAGACTAATAAATAACCCCAAACCAATCAAAGTATAACATAGCCCCATTAGTTCATCCAGCTGAAATTACAACGCAAAACACAAAAACAATTCAAGAATGAGAAGATAAAATTTGCGTTCTGCAGACTATACCGAACTAGAAACCCTAATATATTTTCATACATATTCGCATTCAGATGTGAACATTCATGCAGAAAACAAGACAGGAAACCGAATCCAATTATATAAATCTGAAAAACTGAATCTAACCTACAATCAGTAAAATCAAAAAAATCACTAATTTCCATGAATTTGTCGATCTTATCGGTGATTGAAGATGAAAGCCATACTCAGATCTGGGAAATTCGAGTTTTGAGAAGATGAAGAAAGTTACGGATCGTACCTGACGGCGACGGTGAGATTCCAAGAAGGACGATGCGAGGAACGCTCCGGTAGTTTTGTTACTTATTCGCCCCTTTCTCTCTCTGGTCCTCTTTCTCCGCAGTTGAAGAAGAGAAGAGAAACGCAAAAAGAGAGAAAATGGGCGGAAAGGGGGTAGGAAAAGGGATCGATGGGCGGCTATTTATAGAAAATGAATTTGGGGTTTATTTTAAAATAAATATATCAGGGAAATCAAATTTCGCGGCTGGTTTGATTTTTTTTTAACTGTGGTTAGGTCCAGACCAACGAATGTCATACACCCTCTCAAAGGAGTATGGTGTTTTGGGGAATTATTGGATAGTGGCCCAACATCACATACAGGCCTAAGGCCCAAAACTGCATGGACGTCCTTTAGGTGGATTGCATTAAAGGGGGTACAGACAGAATGAATAAGAAAGTAACACGTGTAAAGTAACCTTCTTAATAAGGTTAGGCTTAATTTAATAATGCGTTTTTCTAACCTATACTTTAAGTTTATCGGTTAAGTTAAGGTGTAATAAATATATATTTTTATAATTAATATATATAAAAAATAATAATAATTAACTTTTATTTTAGTATTATTATCATGTAAAAATCATTTTTATCATAGTTTTCTTACAACTACAAGAGGGGGAATTTATTTCATAAAAGAAAATCGAAATAATAATAAGAAACGAAACTTTAGTTTCAACCGGTAACCCTTTTACCTTGAATATTTGTAGGTCACTCTCTCTACTTAATCAACAGAGGTTCAGTAAAACTGTTTAAAAAAAGAAAAAAGACATTCAGCAAAACTGTAAAAGTGTAAAAATTTTGGTATTCAAAGAGAGACGAGAGATAGATGACACAGTAGAAGAAACGGAAGAAATTATTATTAAAAAATATATATACTATGATAAAAAGATTGCTACCAGATTAACCACAACAGCTAGATAATTGAGATAAACTACTATAAAAAAAATTGTATAATTTATGTTCCATCATTAACTAAAACTAAGAATGAATTGAGAGAAATCATCACCGGCAGTTTTGCCTTCCTCCCAACAACAGATTATTTTCAGGATAAAAAGGCAGTTTTGAAAAAAAGACTACCAACCAGTGATTATTTCACTGTTCTGTTCAGAACTAAACAAGAATTCAAGGGTTCAGCAACGCTATCTCACGGGAGAAAGACGTTTAACTGAATCCAGTATGCGAACATAATCGAAGAAGAGGGCAGAATCCTTCCCCTCAAGACCATCACGGTGATACCTATTGCTCCCAGCAAGATTGTTACAAGGGCTGCCACCCACAATCAGGTCAAATCCACCGAAATGACTCATCAGCTGCTCTATTTTATTATCTTCCAATTGCTGGATATCCTCAATGTGAAGCAACTTGCCCTTCTGGTTTGTCTGTTCCCACCAGCTACTGAGAATGTTCCTATTCACTTCAGATATCTCGACAGACACCACATTCTTCAAAGGGATGCCAAGCCGGTGGAGGGCAACTTCTGCACCACCAATTCCACTGAAAAGGGAGAGGACATTCACACCTTGAGGATAAATCTCTTTTAAAACTGAGAGATGGTAAGCCACTGTGTCAACCTGAAATTCAAGTCAAGCAATGTCAGAATGGAATTTGTTAGAAAACACGAGATTGTTAAGAATAGCACTAAAAGAATTGTACCTGGAATGAGTTACCAAGTGATTTATATCTGTCAGTTCTACTAATGCCACCTCCCCTTGTGTGGTTTTTAGGAAACCCCAGGAGCATTTCCACTTCATCAGGTTCAAGTGGAGCAACCTTGTTTCTTCCCACCCAAACCAAATTCCACTTCTTGCACTGATCAATAACATACTTTTGGACACTTTCAGGTGGGTCACCATCGTGAAGTTCAAGTGCCTTGCGAATCCTATCTGTCAATTTAGCACTGGCAATGCAGGTCTGCAAGCAGTTCAGCTTTGTTCTTGAATCCCATGAAGGCCACCATTTCCTAGTCAAGGGAAAGGCTTCCTTAATGGTGTGTGGTGGGAGAGGAACAAGGGGAAACCTGTTTTCAATGGGAAGATTGTGCACATAGCCCCTTTTTCTTGCAGAAGCACAGAAGTACAATGAATCCACGAACTCTGGTTGGATATCATATAAAAATCTGGAGATGGTGTTCCAGACCCCTTTTGGAGCAAGGGCAACATTCTCGTAGTAGAAATAAGGAGGCCCAATGGCTGACTCTGTTAGAATCCTATTGGTTACATGGCATGGATCTGTTGGGATCCCAAAACCAATCATTGGATTGGGAAGATGAAGGGCTTCGTCATCTTCACTCATCTCAAGCCTCATCTGCTTCTTACTCTTCCATGGATTATTGTCAAATTGCCTCTTCTTAAGTTTCAATTCATCATTGCTGGAAGGTTTGGGCCTTGGCTGTAGAAATTGAAGAAAATTTACCAGTAATAATTCTACTGAAAATTATAAGAATGCAATTAACAGCAAAATAACACCTATTGATAACAATAACAATGTCAAGAGGACAACCAGAAACTCAGTTTTTAAGCGTTGAGTCAGAATTCTTAGATAGAAGAAAGAGAGTACATACATAGACTTCAATGGGGAAAAGTGAATCTGCTGCCTTGGCCATCTGAGCAGCACATATGAAGTCCGTTAACTCTGCAATTGTGGAGTCCGGACCTACAAATTTAAAAGAGGAAATAATCCATACATTCTACCCAGGGAAGAATGTTGACTTCCACTATGATTAAGAAAGAAAAATCCGACAAGAAAAGGCAACTTTTGACCCCTGACACATACTTCAGTGCACTATCACATAACCAGAGCAAGAAAAGAGGCAGGGATGAGACACAACATAAGTTAAAACAATTCACTGCATAGATAATATATCTATCACTGTCTCTGGGGAAGAAGTTATAGACAATGTTTGTATATAACCTTCCTGGTTTTTTCTCCATGCATCAATAACAATAAGGACCATATAAATCTTAAGGAAATGGATTACCATACAACACTAGTAGTGCAACAGTCTGCACTTTGTTAACCTGATTTGGGAGTTAAACAAATTAGATAACGGTTATACTTCATAAATATCCTTTTCATTTTAACTGAATCCACTGAAAATGGAGCCCTCTTACTTTACTAGGTAAATTTAAAAGCATCAAGCCACTCCCCTAATACTTGAATAAAGATCAAGGTAAGATTATTACCTAATGAAAAGCATCTGATTGTTCCCCTTTCATGAATTCAAAATTACTTAAACCTCAGGCTCTTCATTCCGTAAGTGATAAGAACTTGGAACAAAAATTGTCTATTGAGTCTAATATCAAGTCTAATACACATAAAATTATTTATGGGGCAACAAATCAAAATTCTGTTATCTATACAGAGTAATAGAGAAGGCATTTCTTTAGGTCCTATTACACAATAGAAAATTAGAAAGAAGATTAAAGATTCTTTTATCCTTCTTATTCTCAATCATGTCATATATGGCCTTTACAAAAAAAAAAAAATTTTAAAAGTTCAAATCTTATCAAATCAATCATCAATACTCTCAATTTTCGAAGAACAATGACACCAATGCAAGAAAATGAAAAGACAAAAAAAAAGAAAAGAAAAGAAAGAGTAGCATGTGCAAAGTCTAAGGGAAAAAAAATCATAATTATAAAAACACACCACATCTCTCTATGGCTGCTGAAGCCTCCTCCTCTGTGTATCCCATTTTTGTTAAGAACAGCAATCTACTCTCCTCATCAGAATCAGGATTGGCAATTTCCTAGAAGACAGATAAAAGACTGGAACATAAATACAATATCTGAAAGTTATTATGGGATTAAATGCCCCATTCTTGTGCAACAAGGAGTATCCAATATATAAATAACACCATCTTATAAGTCCATGCATCAACAGACAAACTGTAGTATAAGTAGCATTATGCTTCCTGGAAGCAATGATTTCAGAAACAACAACAATAACCATATCAGAAAGGTTTAACCACCTCAGTCTCAGAAAGACTATCAAAATCTGAAAAATCTTCCATCAAACTCCCTTCCACATCTGATGAGTGATCAGAATCAATATGTTGCTTTGCAGGAGATTTTTCAATAGCCTGTGAAAATTCAATAAAATGTAAATGAATTGTTAGATGAAAATTGTAACAGTTCACAACGAAATGCCATGCCCATCAAAAAATTCTTTTGCATATTCAAATTTCCATTTTTGTGTTCTTTAGTTCCTACCATTTTGATTATTTTTCATTTTCCTGTTTGGATGGTTAGAGTTGGGGGGACAGGAAGGGGGACAAAGGTCAGTGAAGCGTATTTCATGTAAATTCAATTGTGTAATCAGAGAAACAAAGAAATTTCCTAAAAAGAAACAAAATGCACCATGGAATATGGATATTAGTAAAAAGTTTATGCACCTGAAACTACTAAAAGGCAGTTTAAACGTCAACAGACGCTTCAGCAAATATGAGCATAATAACAAGCCAGTGACAGTGGAAAATTATAATCATGTGAATCTGTTAGTTTCATGACCTACAGTGCTTAGGTAAAATTGCCGCCACCATCTCAACAACCAAAAATAAAAGAGAAAAGGCACAATTTAAGATTCTGTTAAACATGGCACTCCTTAAAGGGAAGGGAGAAGATTGGGATATTGACAAAATGACCCTCACCTGTTTTCCAAGTGACACAAGGCAGTTGCAAGTTCACTGAAATACATACCACTCAAACTTGGTATGCTACTGAAGGAGAAGTTATTCATTGAAGATTCATAAACAATATAAACAAAATGAAAATTCAAGGTAGAAACAACTACAGGCAAAAACATTCATGTTTCTCATTTTAGCTACAAGGCAAGATCTAAGAACATTAATAATGACCTTTTGAAACAACCCAAACAGGATTCTATCCCAATATTCGTTTTAAAGAATGGTTCAGCTGGAGCGATGGAAGAGACTGTCTGAAACATTGTTCATGTCACATGAATAGACAAGGCATGTCTTGTTATTGTGTCATTCCATACCAAACAGTAAAACCAAATCTAGTTAAGCACGATTACAAAGTGTACAAAATATTAAGTTCTATGGATGTCTGACAGGATGAGAGGACTAAAAACAGGGAATTAGGAAGATCAAAAACAATGAATGGATTAACTCACCGAATAGGTCAATAGTGTTTCCAATATTGAATCTGTATTTCCCTCTCCTGAATAATTGTAGCAAGTTTATAGATAAGCTTTTAATTTGAAAAGTAATGCCTGGAAGAAACTTCAAAGATCCTTTACCATTTTCCTGAATTGCTTTGACAACCAGCTCTTCAGAGAAACCCATCCCGATAAAGTGATCAATCACTTTGGAGTTGGAGGAGCTAGGTAATGAGCTTTCCTGAAGCAGAGGCAGACATGAAATTTTGGTGATGCCACTAAGTTAATGCATAAAGAATCCAGTATACAACTTAAAATACATAATTCTTTGGGGTCTGATCAAGCTATAAACAAGTAAATGGTGTTAAGGAGGCAAATTCATAATAACTCAATGTTTCCAGATGCTGAGGGAAAAGAAAAAGAAAAAAACCTTTGCTGGGCACTGTAGGAGACTCTCAAGTATCAAATTTGTGTTTTCCTCCCCTGGACAATTATCAGAGAAACACCTTAGATAAAGTTTTTAGGTTAAACCTAGGCTTTATCTGAAGAAACATATACGCTTTACCATTTTCCTCAATTGCTTTGGCAACCTGTTCCTTAGAGAACCCCATTCCAACAAAGTGATCAATCACCTTGCAACTGGAGGAACTTGCAGAACTTGCCTTAAAGCATTGAAAGGCAACTATTAGTCAGTATGCAAATGGATACAGCTGAAACCAAAAGATAATAGCTTGTAGTACGAATAGTACCTCTGCCGAGCCTACAACAGCTTCTTCATGAGCATGTGTCACTCCAGAAGAATATGGTGGGCCGAAGTTTTCAATTTCCAACTCATCTTCAGTGTCCCAGTCAAAATCAGAACAATTACCATCCTACACAATTCAATATATCAAAAACATGCATTGCTCGTATGAGTAGTTAACTTCATTAATAAATGAAAAAGAAATACTCATGCTTACAAAAAAGAAGAAACAGAATTAAAAGATTGGAGCATACCATTTAGTTTGTGAGTTAATGTCTCCTCAGGTAAAGGACTTCCTAGCCGTTCATGAAAAAACAAAAAAGGAAAAGAGATGAGCTCCAGCCAACCAAGACAAACTGTTTACACTGCCCATAATTACAAGCTATTAAGAATTATTTTCTGTGTTCAACTTTATTTGTCCTACTCAGGTAAAGGATTCCCCAGCTGTTCATGAAAAAAAATAAAGAACGGAAAAGAGATGTGCTCCAACCAACCAAGGCAAACTGTTTAGACTACCCATAATTATGAGCTATTAAGTATTTTTCACTCCGTTCAACGTTAATTGTCCTACTTCCTAATTTGGGGCATTCAACATTAATTGTACACTTTTCCATTTTACGATGTCATTTAATTCATTCATTCTTATTTTAACCTTATTTTAAGAATAGCAGCAAATATTACAATAAGGAATAAGCATGCTTATTTAGGAGATAAATATGAAGTTTTATCAATTAATTATTACATCCCTATTTGATTGGAGAAAAAAAGAAGAACAACTAAAGTTTGAATGGCAGGAGTTATTGATAACCAAAAGAAGTAATCTGTTCTAGGAAATATGCATGACAACTATCTTTTCTAGCCACTAAGCCGTAGAATGACTATCAAATCAAGCGTTTGAAGTAGGAATGTAGGATCCATTGATCTCTCATCCATGGTCATGGTGCCATCTCAAAAGAATTTTGGAATGCATTGGAAAGTTGATTGCTTCCCATAAAATAAAATGCTCATAAACCAAAGTCCAATTAAAGCCAATGCATCAGTATCACAACTGGACAAACACACAAGCACTCAAGCAAGCTCTTGCCACATCATCACTAGTTTCTATCAAATTAAATTGGTTGAGTTTTTTAGGCTCACACTTCCACATGACTCAGAAGATTCCTTGCAAAGCACTGAGAGAATGCTGCAACAGACAAATTTTAGCATACAATTTAATGTCTTCTTAACATTCCAAACAAGATCGCTTTGACTGTCTTATAGCTGATTCTGTTGATATTATTTCTCACATGATCAAGGAATCAATAAAAAGTCCATACATATTCAAGATACCAACCAATCTCCTTAACTAATCAACAACAACAACATGTGCCGGCATACGAATGAGTTACCCTATTAAAGAAAAAGAAATTTTTGCATCAATGTCCACAGCTCAAATTGAGTAAATTTTAAAAGCCATGCATGCATATTGGTTAACAGGTGTTTCATCCATTTCCCCAGTACAATGAACAACTAAACTGCTACAATTTTTTTATTTCTAAATGACAGGCTAAGTTAAAAGGGGGAGGTTGAACCATATAAGGGCAATGAGGTTGAGCCATTTTCTTGCACAGCCTACAAATTTTTACAATCAAATTAATCGCAACAGCCTTAGTTGTTTACCTTTCCAGTTTCCACCAAAAGAAAAGAAGCCTTACTGTGAGTGCTGATGACAAACCGTTGCCGCCCACAGCTCAAGTATACTATCAGCAAAGGCTGCAAATGCTTAACATCACACAAAAACAACAGGTAAACAAAACGGTGCAATGTGCATCTACAATTTGATGCATAATTCTAACCATCAATTTGCCGTCGAAGAAAAATGATGAAACGAAATCTTGCGAACCTTTCATGACAGAGTTTGACCAAAAAAACTGAAAACACAATAAACTCAAAATGGAAGAAAATTCAACTTCTTCCTCGTTGAACAATTTCTAGGGTACCGAAAAGAGAAGAATATTGGTCTGCATTAAAGAAATGCCTAATCCAGCCGAACAACTAGAAAATTCTAAATTAATCAAAACAAACAAAATTTCCACACGATTAGCATCTTAAACAAAACAATAAAACTCACCTTCAAGAGTCAAGACCGAGGAAAATTCTCCTCGATCCAGAAACAATCCTCGCTAATTCCGATAATGCAGTATTTCCAACGCCGGAAGAACCGTCTCCCCAAAGCTTAAAGAAACGACGGAAAAGACAAAAATAGAGAAGATTCCATGGGAGAAGGAAGGAGGAGGAGGAGAAGGAGAAGGAGAGCGAGGCGAAGCAGAAGACGCCGCCGGAAGGAGAAGGAAATGAAAATTGGCGAATTGTGACCGAAAAATAGCGCAGTCTTCCCCTCTTCGGAAAAGAGGAGTCGAGAGCCTGTTTGGTGCGGGAATCGGAATTTTATGATGAAAAAAAAACAAATGAGTGCAAGACCCGCGCGTTTACCGTACTCGCGTAATCGCCATGAACATTGACACTTTTATTTCCCTCGCTTCTCGGTAAATTTTGAAAATTTATCAATTAAAATTAAAAATGAAAAAGGCTATTTAATAATTTAACTATAAGATTTTTAATTTAAAGAAAGTAATTGACATTATTTAAAAAATATATTTTTAATATTTTTCATTTTACTTTAAATTTTTTATTCTAAAATTATCCAGTAAATATTTTGATATTATAATATGATTTTGCTATATATGTAGAGAGAAATAAAAGGAAAAGAAATGAGAATATAAATTATGTGTAAGTGTGAATGCGCGTGTAATGTAAACTTCTTTTTATATTTTTATTTTTGCTTTTTTATTAATAGTGCAAGCTGACAATAGCTATCAAAAAAGTGAAGGTATTGGACTTTGGGCCTGTTTGGTTGTTGTGCATGTCTATGTTTGAAGGTAAGAAAAAAGTTGAGAAAGGAAAATGAAAGAGAACTTAGCAGGGAAATTTTTTTTTTTTTTAGTGAAAAAGTCAGTGCTTGGTAGTTGTAGAATACCTTTTTGAAAAATTAATTGAAGTTGATTAATGTTGGAGGAAATGAATTATTTAAAAATAAACCAAATTTAAACAATAAAAGTACAAAAATTTATGAGGAATAGGTGAACTATTTATCCATGAAGTAAACCTAAGGATCAAGTAAATTGTTCAATCGAACAAACAACGCATGAAATAAACATTTAGATCTCATAATTAAACATTTTCAATTTTACAAAAAATTTGTTTATTGTAAAAAAAATTATATAAACATGATTTTATCGTCCACAAAAATATAAATAAAACAGCAAATCCAAACACACCCTTACCGTATTCAATGCAATCACATGGCATTGTTTGTCTACTTTTACTTTCCTTCTTCTTGTAATGATGAGACAACCTCACTTTTTTTATGAGAAGGGTAAAAATATCATTTCACATTTTGTTTTATATGAAAATAATATTAAACATAATTATAATTGCATATTTATTAGTATAAATAAAATAATAAAACTAAATATACCTTTAAAATATTTATCATGATCACATAATATTATTAATTTATTGTTATTTTTCTTTATTTATATTGAAAAGGTACCCCACTTTTCATAAAAAAAGAATAACCAATAATTTCTTTAAACTAGCGACAAAGACAAAAATTGACAATTTACCTATATTTAAAAAAATAATAATAAGAATAATAAAAACATTATTTTTATAATTTACTTTTTTTAAAAAAATATATAATTAAATCATATCCAAATAAAACGATAAATCAAATAGTTTTTTTTTTAGAGATATTCAATACAAACACATGACACTGCCAGTTTACTTTTTATCTCTTTATTTGTATTGACAAGATTATCCCACCTTTTCCTTAGCAATGATAAAAGGGATAAAAATGTCATTTCAACTAATATAATTGAGTTGGTTTCCCACTTCTAAAGTGCTTGTCTTTCTCAATCTTTTAGTCATTTAGACCATGTTTGATAAAATTCATAAGAACTTTAATTTTTTTAATAATATTTATATTTTAAAAATTTAAATTTTTTTATTTTTTTAATCTTAAAAATATTTTAAATAATAAATTTTAAAAAATTTTAAATTTATGCTTTTTATAAATTTTATTTTTACTTATTTTTTTCTCATTTTTTTTATTTTTAAAAATAACTTAAAAAATTTTTTTTCAATAAAAATTTAAATTTATTACTAAAAACTAATTAAAAAAAATTCAAAAAACTCTACCAAACATGTTTTTAATATATTTCTCTTGAAACAAACAACATTTACTTATATATAAACATGATATATTCATCTATTTCCTCAAATAATAATAATAATAACAATGATAATAATAATACATCCATCGAATTACAAAAGACAAATGATACATCCGGGCACAATTTCTGTGGGTAAGATGGCAAAATACGGTTGTAATTAATCCAAGTTCAATTTTCATATTATCCGGACCTCTGGTACTCATGAAATCTCGGTGCTGACGAGGTAAAGTAGTTGAGACTGCGTGAAGGCGTATCATGATTCATGAATGATTATGACTATGCGAAAATTCTCTGTACTTTGAAGATCTTTCCTTTGACCGAGACAACTGATTCTCTAAGAATAAACAAAACTGAACTTTTCGAGTTTATTGTATATAAAGAGTACAATAAAGAGTTTGTTTAATGTTATATATTAATAGATAATAAATGTATTTTTTATAATTAATTTATATAAAAATTATAATTATTAATTATTTAAATAATTTAATAATAATATCATTTCAATAAAAATATAAAATTTTAAATTTAAATTAATATAATATGTAAGTAAAATGAATTAAAAAACTAGGTGAAGTTTATTTATCATTTTAAAATTTAAGGCAAAATAAAAAAAATTAATAGTGATCTCTTCTAAATAAAAATAAAGAGTTTTAAATTTTAATATGAATAATTTTAATTAATTAATTAATTAATTAAAAATTAATATTTATAATTTTTTATACAAATTAATTATAAAATATATATCTTAATGAGCCGATGTTAGAAATATGTTATATAAATTCTACCCAGTCAAGTGTCGACCATCTCTCCTGACAGGTAGAGTAAACGCATGAAATCACTTTCCAGCGTTATTAAAATAGATTTAGTTGGTCCAATAATTAAAAGTCTAAAACTTTAAGGTAAAGATTTTAAATTTAAATGTTAAGTTAAGTAGAAAGGGATATGGAAATAGGTAAAGATTATTTTTTTTAAGAATAACTGTAATTAAATGTAAAAAAAAAAAATCTTATTTACTGCAAACTTATATACCGACTGCGAACTTAAATTATTACATCGAAGGTGAGTCTTAAAGGTCTTATCCCATTTAATTAGTTTTGGTATTCAATTGCCTTTTTTTTTTTTTTTTGAATGATGGGTACGAAAAAGCTTTACAATTAAAAACTTTTATGCTATACACCCGCCGCAGTAGAAACAATGGTAGAGTGCATTTTAAACCATAAATATCGCCATGGTTCAAAATTTTGTGATATAATCCCTCTTTCTTTCAACTTTTTAATGTTCAAAAAAAAAAAAAAAACCCTTTTATGCCATCCTTGGTGTCCATAGAATATGCTCCAGCACATCATCTTTTTGCGGGCAACGTTATGACCATTAAAGTTCGTAAGATAATATCTTTAAAAATATTAATTTTATTTAATTTAATTAATAAAATAAATAATATTAATTAATTAAATTAAATTAAAATTATTTTCTTATCTTAATTGTACAATAAAAAACAACCATATCTCATATCTTATCTCACTTCACCTCACTCGCATGCCATGCTATTTGAATTCAATTAAGACCTCTTACTATAAAATAACCACTTGACTATTTAGGTAGTTGGCAAAATCATTAAAAAAAAAAAACAGTATTTTACGAAATTTGGTGATCATATCATTAATAATGGTGCTATAACCTTCCCCTTCTTTTAGGTCGGGCAATCGGGGTTAGGCTATTTTGCCGATGGATGGGGACTAGTGCCTGAGAACTAGAAGCTCAGTCCAGGACCCCAGCCAGAGCAGGAAGAGCACCAAGGCACCTTGCAGCCCGTCCCGCCATCCTGGTTCAGCTGTCTAACACAGGAGGAAGAGAGAAGACAACATCATGTTCATAGAAGTGAAGATAGTAAACTATTGATAAATGATGAATCAATGTTAAGTAATGATCATAGACAGGATCTCAGATTAACAAGTTTAGGAGGGGCAACACTTAACAACATTGTGTCTGTGAATAGTTACAACTACATTTTCCTCATACACGTCAACATAAACCTTACACTATAAGCTAAGGATGGGGCATTGCTTTCTAGCATGTTCTGGTATCAGCTTGCACAGAATCTCTACATTTGCTCCTTTCAGCTCTGCAGATGCAGTGGTATAATTCAGACAGTTACAATTTGATAAAATATTGATTTAGAATTTGATGGAAGGAGATGACAACCTTGTGGTTTAAAGTTAAACAGTGGAGGAAAGGAGCGTCCATTAGGGAGGCGGGCATTAGGATTGCGAAGTTCATCGAAAAATGGGTGTATCAATGTCTCCAACTTCAAAACACAAACGAACAATATGTTAATTTTTGTTTTACATACGAAAGAAAATAGAGCCAGAAGTGACATCATATAATTTCATAAATGGCTACCTTGATGAGTTTGCTCCAGTTATATTAAGGGTTCAATTCTAGAGGATACATTTGCCTTAAATTGCAATGACCGAAAAAAGGGACCTACCTTTTTCCATAGGACAATTTTAGTACAATATACGACATAATTTCAGCAGAGGAAAGGAACAATTAATGAACATAGATTTGAGTATTAGATCTTGCCTTGAAACATCAAGTATAAGATTTGGATATTATTTTTTCTAAGGAGCTAATAGCAGTCAAGTAGGAAGTACTCACAGCAGTACACCTCAGATTTGGAGAATATTGGAGAAGCCGTGACACAAGATCAACAGCTTCAGGAGGCGTGCGCTTGTTGAATATCTGTTGATAAAAACAGCAGAAATAGCTTCACTGCAACAAAATTACGACAAGTTCAAGAGAGAGAAAATACATTTGCAGGAAAATATTCTGCTCACCTTCTGCCAGGGATGTGCCTTGATTTGTAGGAATTTGAACTCTGTATAGTTTGGATTCATACATTTGATCTCCTCTCTAGTTGGAGTTCCTAGTACCTAAGAGAAGAACATCTATTTAAATCCATTCTTCTAAACTACTGGAAAAAGAAATTTGAGGCTAATCAGAGACAGATATATTGCGTCTTGCTACCTTAATAATCTCAGCAAGCTGATCAACTGCACTCTCACCTGCAAATAGTGGCTATAGAGTTTGATAGCCCAAAAAGGAGAAAAGAATGCATCCATGTTTAGATTCACTTGTTACCGTACATAAAGTTAAAAAAAAAAAAGGGAAAAAAAAAAGAGGCCATATTTCTAGCTTGTAAGGAACCTGTCCAAGAAGCAGTTCAGCAAGGACACAACCAGCAGACCATATGTCAATTGCAGTTGTGTATTCGGTAGCCCCAAATATAAGCTCAGGTGCTCGATAAGAGCGAGTACAGATATAGGATATATTTGGCTCACCTTTGACCTGTTACAAGACAATGGATAAAAAAGCAATAACAGAGTGTGTGACAGGAAAGGTAGCACAATTCAGACATATAAGAATAACAATGCAGAACAAAAGCAAGAAATGTAACCACCAAAGAAAAGGGAGCAACTGATGAGAGAATGAAGAGTTTAAAGATCAAGTAAACCAGCTAAAGAATAATGCCTTAAGAATACAGTAAGCATGCAATTTTACAAATCTTGTGAAGCACTGAGTGTGCATACTCGACCATTAGTCATCAATGCATGGGCAGAGATTTCCAATGACTAACTAGATAAGCATTCTTAATAAAAGGTCAGAGGATGATCATGGTATTCATGTAATCATATGGAATATATCTCTTGGAATCTCAACTTATTAAAAACAATGATGACATAATTTAGTTTTTCTTTTTTTTCCAAAAAGAAAGAATTTCTTTATGGCCAATAAAAAAAAGAAAGCAGAAATTTCTTTACATGCATCAATTCTGCAACTAACCAGCATCGTAATATCTGATACTTAATATCACAAAAATATATATGATATTTAATAAGACTAATCATAATTGGAAAACTATACCAGAACTTTTGCACTCCCAAAATCACAGAGCTTGACCTGATGTGTATGCGGATTGACCTGCAAAAACAGAACAGAGTGTTTTACCTGCAAAAAGCATCTAACTATAAGATGGACAAAATATGAGTTCCAATTACAAACCAGAATATTCTGTGGCTTAATATCCCTGTGGCAAACTCCAACTCCACCATGGATATAAGCCAAAGCTCTACAGATCTGTCAACATACATTATATAAAACAAAAGGCATAAGTTTCTCATACAGCAAAAGAAATCTAATCAAACAGGAATTTGACAACAAATACATTTCACAATAGTTTTCCGGTAGGTTTAGTGAGTCCTGTCAACAGAATTTAGGAAATTCCATGCACTTCCTTGGTCTAGATAACCACTCTTGCTACTTGATCACTTTTCATTGTAAGGTAAGAAAATGGAAATACCAAATAAAGATTCATTTTGTATGGATTCTTCAGCCATTTTAACATCCAAGTTCTTACAAGAAATCAGATGCAAACTGCTGCAGATTGGTTGTTCAAGTCCTAGATATGCATGCATGTATTATACGTGTCCATAAATTATGTGCTAACTTTACTCGAATACATGTGAACTGTCACAGATTATTACACTTCAGGATAAAAAACTAACCTGTGTCTAGGATTAATTAATCAGAAAACAAGAGATGATAAGGATATCCTGGACACACAAGCATAAATTACCTGGTAAATATAGAGTTTGACATATATTAGAGGCATACGTTGATTTGCTCTGCTATAGCGCTTCAATACACGATAAACAGTCTCAGGTACATATTCAAGAACCAAATTAAGATAGAGCTCATCCTTTTCAGTGGTTGAAAAGAACCAGTTTTTGAGTGAAACAACATTTGGGTGATCAAGAAGGCGCATTGTTTGCATCTCACGGTTCTTATACCTCATATCTTGCTTCTTATACCTCATATCTTGCAAAACCTTCTTAATTGCAACAGTTTCCCCAGTTTCTAGGCATCTGGCCTGCAACATAACAAAGATAATTTTGTAAAATAATACCATCTAGTATTTGACAACTTTAGGATCATAAATGCAGGTGCCAAATGACCAGGCCCTGAACATCAGAGCTTCATGAGTTATAATAAGAGAATCACCTGAAATACAACTGCAAAAGTGCCTTGACCAACAACACGCTCCGCCACATAACTTATGGTCTGAAAGTTCAATTCAGAAAGAATTTGAACAATAAGCAGCGTATTACATTGAGTAGGACATTGGCATGTCACATTAACAAAAGCATGCAGGTCTCAAAACAACTTCTTGCAACAGGTCAGAAGCCACACCCACACATATTACTAGTCAATGAGAACCAAAAATCAGGGATTTATCTTGAAAGCTTTGGTCCAATAACGCCAGTATAAGATAAACATGTAGATCCATACGAACATTAACAACTACATAAGTTTCCAGTTTAATATGTCCTTGTGACTGACTTAGCAAAGCTGAAGTATGAAATTAGCTTTAGCTAATAAAGACATTTTTTTTTTTTTTTCCATTTTTGCCACATCTAATCAACACATTTATTAAAAATAAAGTGACTACGTATACCTGCTTCGGTTGACCATTTCTTCCACCAATAGTTGTCACAATAATTTGTCCAGTTTCAGTTCCCCTTCCATCCACCATCATTTCTTCCATTTCCTACAATAGAAAAATCACAAACATTAAAGGTAGTAATCACACAATGAACTACAAAATCCACCTTCCAATCTTCCATCTATATCCTACCATAAATACCCCCTAATCAATGTAAATAAGATACCTTTTCTACTTTCTCATCCTTGATCTTTATCTCATGGATCTCTTCCGGAAGTTTATTCACCAACATTGCATTGCCACCAGTTTTTCCATCTACCGAACTAACTGCCACCACACGGGTAGATGCCATATGCGATTAAATAGAATTAAAACCAGCTCACAGTCACCGTCTTGATCAAATAGAAGCTCATCTATAACCTGAATAAAGCAGAAAAAGAGGCCTTAAACAAGATTTTTTCTGCATAATTGATTGACTAAAATCTAAACAGGCAGTTCAATCACTACCTCATATCATAATACAGAAAACGAAGAAAATGTTTAGTGCATTCGCAATTGTTCAAGTAAACAACTAGAATTTACTAACATTGGAATCATATACAATCGTATAAATTTATTTCCTTTCCCTATTTTTTTTTTCTCAGATACCAAGCAAAGAACATTACCAGAAATAATAACTTGCACAGCAAAAAAAATTAAAAAAATTAAAAAATTCCAAAAAAAATGGATGAAAACAAAGTTTTAGCATCTAATAAATCAACATGCGGTAAAACCTTTTTCCTTCACTTTCTCTCAAACCAAACAGAAGTTACAAACAAGCAAAGAATAAAGATGCCTCACCTTTAAAGGCGCGCATCCCTTACATTTTGCGATTCCTTTGATCCATGCACCTCCACAGCTACAGAATCAACAAAACCCAAACTAAAACCGAAAAACCCAAAAACTACTCTCTCAAGAAGAAAAGAAAAAGGCTTTGAAAAAAGAAAGAGAAATGAGGTCTTCGTAGGTTCAGAAACTTGACTTAAGCGAGACTTTCTCTGCAATTTTCTTTAGATACTCTGTTTTCTGTATCGAAGCTGAGCGGACCCCAACCGGAATCTCTGGAATGCAGTTAAATGTTAGTTTTGACGTCCGTCCGCCGCCAGGAGTTTGATTTGGGACGTGGCAGTAGGGGATTGGGTAGGTGTTAGAGTGACGTCATGGAGTTGACTGTCTTTTAATAGGGAGCGATGGTAGGGTGGGTTAGGGTGTATGTAAAGAGTACAGGGTGCCGTTGATTTTCTTTTTTGATTGGATTGAGATGGAATTTGGAGGGTGGTGATGATATGGAAGATGGAACAGCGTTGACACTGTGGCATTTCGTGTTTCTCCTGTTTATTTAATGCGAAGGGGGTAATGGTCGTGTCAGAAGAGGAAGAGTAACTTTGGGAAGAAACCGAATCGCAAAACGCTTAGCATGCTTGAAAAGGATAGTTGGTTTCAGTTTCAAAACGGTGCCGTTTAGGTTTTCCAAGTTGGGTGGAGGGTGGG